GGAACACACATCTGTCACGAAGCCACAGCGGCCACACAACACTGCTTCAGTCACACTAGCCCGTCACGATGTTCTCCTGCACGAACCCCACGCAGCTCCCCTAAACCCCACCTCTGCCTCCCAGATTCCACAGAACCTGCCAGGCACACGTAGGTACCCTCCACAGGGGCCCCATGCCCCATGCACACGCCCATCAGACACCTGCACATCCTGTAACACGCAGCACACACGAGAACACACACTGCAACACGTGATCAATATGTATGTGTCCACACTCACTCACACACACACACACACACACACACACACACCTAGAAAACGGTGTGAACGAGCCTCTTGGGCTAAATCTCAAGGCCTCAGGAGACAATGTGAGGCCCAGTGCTGACTGGGCTGGTCTCCCCTCCCTGAGCCCAGGCGTGGAGGCAGGGGTCACCTGGTGTGCCCCCAGCGGCCTTGGCCTGCCCGGCCCCTCACCTCCTCTCGGGGGGCACAGAAGTCAGGCACGGGGATGCGGTGGTAGGTGAGACCGGGGCAGGCTCCGTGGTGCTGGCTGAAGACCTCCCGCATGGTGAGGCACGTCTGGAACCGGAGGCTCGGTGGGCCCTTCGTGTCGGGGGACGTCGAACTCAGGTGGGCCTTCAGCTGGGTCTCCAGGGCCTGGCACAGACAGACAGAGGGAGAGGCTGCTGAGGCAGCCTGCAGCCAGCCACCTTGAAGGGCCACAGCCTGCTGCCTCAGTGACCAGGCTGGCGGCCAGGGGCTTTCCTACCCCCCAGGAGCCCTGGGGCAGGAGTCCTCAACCAGCAGCTCCTGAGCCGCCCCTGAGGCCCCGGTTTCTCCATCTGTAACAGGAACAGGGGGCTCCTGAAGACCCTCCTCAGCCAGTTCCAGAAGGCTCCAAGGCAGGGAGTCAGAGCAGGAGCAGGAAACTCACCTCCAGCTGGTCGGGGAGCAGCGCTGGCCCGGGCAATGGCAGGCTGTGGGTGTGGCCATCACACTGCAGCACGGCCTCCTGCCGCAGGTTGACCCAGACCACCTGCCGCAGCTTCCTCTTGGCGTCAGTCAGGTAGGCCAGGATGCTGCCCAGGGCCTGGGGGCGGAGGCCATCAGTGAAAGGCCCAGCCACACCCTGCCCGCCCCCATGTGGGGCCCAGACCCCAGGAGCGTCACCTTGGCACTGGGTTGGGCTGTGCCATAGATGGGCATGCGGGGCACTCGCCGGAAGTTGGCCACGTCCATCTCCCTGATGGTGCTGAGAGCATCCGGAGAGACCAGGTCATCGGCCTCCTGTGGGGAGGGCACCGAGTCTGGGACCTACCGCAGCCAACCGCAGCCACTGAGGGTCAGAAC